AAAAGATGAACGAGGTAACTTTTTCTTTTACGGACGCCGATAAAAGAATAATGAATATTCGGGCACACTGGATCCCCCCATATGTCTCTAACAACTTTATAGAGAAAGTTTNTGCGGAATACGGCAACGTTATTAACGTAGTGGAGGAGCAATATGGCGCCCGCCATACGCTTTGTGGGACAAAGTCAGGGCTAAGGAGAATATCGCTAGAGTGTTCTCCCGAACAATATGGTTCTGTGCCCCATATTATTAACATCGACGGAGTAAGACCTTTCCGTATGCTGCTCGCATGCACAGACAGACCTCCATTGTGTCTTCATTGTCGCAATGTAGGACACATGGCCAGGGAATGTCCTTCCAAGATTCGTAGGACTGTTGAGACTGAAAAGGTGAAATCGTATGCTGATGCATTAAGTGGTTTTTCTGGCCCTGGGGACGACGCTATCCAGCAAGTCCCAGAGGCCGAAGGAATGGACGCAAAGGAAATAACAGTAGAAAAAGGTGAAGCGCCTTCCCATCTCTTTTCCCCAGACCCAGTGGGCGATTGGGCTGAGGAAATGGACTCGGAGGACAGTAGCTCATCGTCTGAGAGCGAAAGTGAACAAAGACTCATAATGGATGTAAAAAGAACAGAGCCAACAACAGGGAAAAAAACGACCAAAAATCGTGGAAGTCCGAGTAAGGGGGGTGAAAAAAAACTCAAAACCTGATTTTTCTTTATTTCATATATATATATATAATTATCATAGTTTTCTGTTTCAGATGTTTAGTTTTATGTTCAGTTTTGTCAAAGTTATTCATGGCTGGTTTGTATATATATTTAGTGAGTATCTGGGTATTTTCTGTGTATATAATATAATCATGTATTTTATATTACAGCTTTTATTAGTCAGTTTCGACTAGTAAGTTTGTCTGTCTTTTTTGGCAAGGTACCCCGAATTTCGCTCACAATTCAGTCTGGATTAGTGAGCGATATTTATTTTGGTGGGCTATGTTTGTTTATCGCCTGTAAGTCCTTTGAGTTTATACTCATGTCTGTCCATGTCTTGTCTTATTACCTAGTTTGATTTTATGTCACTTTTTTCTAATCACAAATCTTAAATGGCGAATATTAAGACTGTATCAATCAATTGTCGTAGTTTATTGTCTATTCAGAAATCAAGAGTAATATCGAGAGATCTGAAAGATATGGCTATTGATATTTGTTTTTTACAAGACACCAATATTCGTAATATCGAACAAGCTAAAATTTACGAAAATATTTTTGGTAAATGTATTTGGTCTTTTGGCTCTAACCGTTCGACGGGGGTGGGGATTGTTCTTTATAACCGTTTAAGTTTTGTGATTAGAAAAATTAATTTCGATTTTGAAGGCCGGCTAGTTGTTGTCGATGTCGACATCACTGGTACACAATTTAGGCTAATTTGTATATATGCGCCAGTTATAGGTGCGGACCGCAACGAATTTTTATTAACTATACCGCACTATTTGACTACTCAGCGGTATATTATTTTTGGTGGTTATTTTAATTTTGTAATGGATCCGCACTGTGACAAAATTGGGGGTAATATTGAGCGCGGAATTGTGGGTAGAAAAAATCTGGGGGACATAATTATGGATTTTAATTAAACTGACGCATATCGACATATTTACCCTAGTATTGTTTCGGTGACATGGCGGGGCTCCGGTGTCGCATGTCCCTTAGACCGATTTTATTTAAGTAGAAATCTTTTAAAACATCTTGTAAGTTTTGAGGTTCTGCCTTGCGCTCCCTCAGACCATGACTATGTAATTGTTACCATCAATGTTTCGGGCGGAATTCATATTGGGGAGGGATATTGGAAATTTAACAACTCAGTTATGCACGACCGAGCCTATATTTCTCTTTTTGCAGATTTTTGGCAGAAAAGTTTGGTTGGGCAAATTATTTCTTTGGAATGGTGGTAGGGTATGAACATTTCTATTCAAAATTTAACTAAAAATTACTGTATATCTTTTTTTCTGTACAATAAGTCCTTTATAAGATATATATCTTTTTTTTCTATATAGGCTGAGTGAAGTAGTAATATGGTTATAAAAATTGAGCCATTGAGATTTGTATATTTGTACAGTATTTATATTTGTTATATATAACAAATACGGATACTCAAATGGCTGATTGTGGTTGATGTTTACTCCACGGAATACTATTTCCGGGAAGCCATTTGAGATGGTTTCAACAACAAAATATTTGTCGAAAGTTAATCCAACTGCATCCGATAAACGGTGGATACTACACAGCTGAAAACTATACAGATATGGAGTCTAATGTACTTGTCATCAAAAACAGCTTTTCAAACGTTTAAAAAAATTCCAGTCTAGACGTTTAAATCGATTTCTTTGATGACTGACTTCAAGTACAACGTGGTTTACAAACAAGATGGCGAGCAAGATAGCAAAGACTCTGGTTTATTCCGTCATAAATATTTCACTATATAATTTATATTTTTTTCCTTAATTTTCTAAATCGTACCCTAGGCGGACTTAGCGGGCCGGGTCGAAGCACAAGTGCCCAACCCTTACCACCG